CCCCCGGGCCTCGGCCGCCCCCCCCCGGCCCCTCACACCTTCACGCGATGCCTGTCTCCAGCACGTCCTCGCTTTTGGAAGGCAAATTCTTATTTAACGTCTCCATCTCTTCTGCCTTTCTCTTCCTACGCTGCTTCCGACAGCACACCTTCACGCGATGCCTGTCTCCAGCACGTCCTCGCTTTTGGAAGGCAAATTCTTATTTAACGTCTCCATCTCTTCTGCCTTTCTCTTCCTACGCTGCATCAGACAGTGGCTTGGGGGGGGGGGTAATAATTAAAACAAAACAAAACAAGAAAGCAGAATGAGGCGTCGCAGCCGTGCTGCTCTTCCTCCCTCCACTTTCACCTGGGTGGGATCGCACGTGGTTTCCCGCTCCGAAGCCGTGCCCCGTGCGCCTCCCAGCACCCTCAGAGGCCGTCTCCCACCTGAACAGGCCAGCCCAAATTCAACCTGCCCCGAGCCGGCGGAACTGGGCAGGATTCCCTCCCAATCCGGGGCTGCCCCTTCCCTTCCCGCCCCGTCCCCCCGCCACGTACTGGCTGCAGAGGCAGGCGCAGACGATGAGGATGATGAGGGTGACGATGGCGGCGATCAAGGAGATGATCACGATCTGGCCCCGGTCGCCTCGCAGGTAGAAGATGTCCACCTTCTCGCAGCGAGACCCCGTGTAGCCTCGCTCGCACCTGCCCCGCGGCACAGGGGAGGGGTCCAAAAAACCGCCACGGTGCCCGTGCCCCGCTCCTCCCGCGCGCCCGGGGAGGACGGGCAGGTGCTGCCGCGTCCCCACCAGCGGTGACTTACACGCAAGCCGGCGCCTTCTCGGCCACGAGGAAGCGGCATCTCCCTTTGATGCAGTAGTGCTTGTACTCCTCCGGGCACCTGGAGAAGTGACCCTGCCGCCTCAGCTGCGTCACGTTCCCTGGGGGTGACAAGGACAAAGAAATCCCCCCGCGGGGGTTACGGTTCTGCCCGGAGGCCACAGCATCCCGAGGCTGGTCCATCCCCACGGCAGGTCCGAGCCTGGCCAGCTGCAAAGAGCCACCGGCACATGTGTCCTTGGCCGTGGCGTGCCAGCCCTGGCCGCTTCCCAGCTCGCTGGATGCCACATGGCTACGTTAGACAAAACACCCTGCCCGTCCTCCATCCCGGCCCTGTCCCCCGCACCACCCAGCTCCCGTCCAACTCCACCGACTTCCCCGAGCATCCTCCTCCCTGCCTTACCCGTGCAGCTCTCGGCCACGCCGCAAGCGAGCCCCTCCGTGCCGTGGCCGGCGGTGACGTTGGCATCGGCACCCACACAACGGAAAAACGCCAAGCCTGAAACGCAGCGGAGGCGGATGAGAGGGGGAGCCCGGCCAGAGCCCCGGCATCACCACCACCGCCCCACCGCAGCCGCTCTCCCGGCCCCTGCTGCAGGGAGGGGACCGGCAAAGGGCTCCGCAGCTGCGCCCACGGCCCCCCCTTCCCTGGCAGCATCGGCTTTTCCCCAGGGGCGAGGAGAAGGGGAAGCGGGTCCCCGCCTGCCTCCTCCACCCACCAACGCCCCAGCATGAGGGTCCGGGAGCCAGCGGGGCGGCTTTTGGGTGGCATGGGCAGCCAGCAGCCCCTTTGCCCAGGGAGGATGCGGGGAGGGACCCCCAGGGAGGTCCGGCTCGCTGCACTGCCCTTTTGGAAGAGCCTGGGTTTCAGGGCTGCAGAAAAACACACCGGCTGTGGGAGCAAGGAGATGGCAGCGCCGCAATTCAGCACCCACCGAAGCCCAGTTGCTTCCAGCGTGCAAGCGCTAAATCCCATTGCAACATCACTCACTGCTGTACGGGGGCATGCGATGCCCGGCACAAACCGAGCAGGTAAAAGGGTGACTGTGCTCGCCGTGGCCAAGGGACGAAGCCGAGGGCCAGCTCAGCCCAGGCACGTCCCGGTGGTGGTAACCGGATCGCTGGCATACCAGCACTGACTCAGCACAGCCCTGCTCCCAGCCCGGCCCTCCCCAGGGATTCACCCCACTGTGGTGGCACCCAGGGGAGCGGGGACAGGTCCTGCCTGATGGGGCAGGGCACTGGGTGGCTCCCCCGAGGGTGGCACGCCAAGGTGGGGGGTGTTTCCATCCCGAGTGGGTGCACTTTGCAGCTCAGTCATACCAAGGCCTCCCAGAGAGCGGGGAATTTGGGCAGCCTCGTCCCCCAGTTTTCCCATCCGGCCCTTCGGCACCCTGGCAGCAGCGGTGGGGGCTGCCTGGGCAAGCCTCCAGTGTCCCCCCCCGTCCCACGGCAGAGACGTTCCCAGTACACCCGTCCCTCCTGGCTATATATAGCCACCGCCGCGCTAACGACGTGCTTTGGGTAACAGAGCTGCAACGAGGCCGGGGCTGAGCCTCCACCGGGGCTTCCCCACCAGCGAGCATCCCCTCCCTCACCAAAAGAGCTTGGTGGGAAAGGGACGGATCCCACCACCCAGTTGGGCCCAGGCAGTGGGGTGGGAGCCAGGGGATGAGCCACGGGGCGGCTGCTCCCCCTAGGAACCAGCTGCGGGCGGCTTGGGCACGCGGCGGCGCAGGGCGGGAGGCTGACTTCACCCCCGGTGACCGAGTTCGCAGCTCGGCATGGAAAGATCCCCACCAAGATGAGATCCCCACCCTTATTGCAACCAGATGCAGAGCTTTGGCATCCTCCAGGCTGGCAGCCCCTTGGCGAGGACTGCCCGGCGGCACCGCCAGCTCGGAGGGCGGGGGGTTTGCCTCCCCGACACCCAGACCTCAGCACCCAAGAGCTGTGGGTGCAAAGCAACCTCATGTCTTTGATGCACAGAGAGCCTGGCTCTGCTCTCTAAGGCTGCATCCTTCCCTGAGCAGCTGGACATAACCCAGAAAAGCACCCCAAACACCGCATTACTTTGCCATAACGCCCCCCACGCTCCCCTGGGAAAGCCCAAATTGCAGGAGAGCAACCACCCAGGGCATTCCCTGGCCTGATGGGCATCCCAGCCCCAAAACACATCGGCCACCCTTGATTTCACCCTGCCAGCACAGGTTTGGCAGGTTTTGCCGAGCGCTGTCACCAGCCCTGTCAAAGGGCCAAACCCAAACTGCTCCCGGCGGAGGGGAAGGCTCCCCCGAAAGCCCGGGGCTGGCACGCTCTGCCAGGGGGTATTGCCAAGCCCGGCTGATGTTCAGCCCTACCTGTGGTTATCTCCTGCCAGCCCTGAGCAGGCAGCTTTGCCCACTTCCCCTGCACTTAGGAACTCACACGGGGACGCTCATGCACTTGCGGGCTCCCCCCGCATCCCTGGCACTGCCAAGGATGGCAAGACACTGATACCGGGGCATCCATGAGCAGTGTCCCATCAACAGGTGGGAAAAGCATCCCAGCCCCGCTCCAGGGTCCAGCCAGGACACCCTGGCCCCAAGGGATTCAGAGCCAAGCCGGCACAGGCATGGGGTAGCACTGGGAGGGGATGGTGGGGAGTACTGGGATGGGAACTGGGGGCACATGGGATGGGTGCAGGGAAGCGTGGGGGAGCACAGGGCCAGGATTGGGTAAACACCAGGCTGGACACAGGGGAAGGAGCGGGATGGGATTGTCAGGGGGACACAGGGAGTCACTGGGATGGGACTGGAGAAACAGCAGGGTGGGCACGGCGAGCGCTGGGATGGGACAGGGCCAGTATCGGGATGGGGTGGGACGGGGGGGATACAGGGGATCAGCACCGGGGGAGCAGCGGGATGGGATGGGGCAGCACCGGGACAGGCACGGGGGAGCAGCGGGATCGGACCGGGAGGCAGGTGGAGGATCACCGGCGTGGGACCGGGAAGCAGCAGGCTGGGACAGGGGCAGCACCGGGACCAGCCCGGGCTGGGACAGAGAGAGGACGGGGCCGGGAGCGGGGGACCCCCGTGCTTACCGGAGGCGAGGGCCAGGCAGAGCAGCAGGGTACCGGGGCCGCCGCCCGGGGCCGGGGCCG